ACTCTATGGCACCTAACAACAACAACATACACTAATATCAGCCCAAATCAGATGATATTCAATCTCACTGCTTGTTGAAGTGCACAATATAGCTTTTGGGATACTGTCAATCACCACTGGAGGGGTGGGGGGTGGGGGGAAGGCTTAAAATCTTCTGACTTTCATATCTAAACCAGACATCTAAAAGTGGGCTTCCGTTATACAGCTCCCCAACCTCAAAAAAGCAAATCCCATACTGTTTACTGACCTGTTCAGTTCTTAGTTGGGTCGAACCGTCCTTATACATCAATGTTACCACCAAAGCTGCTGCCTGTTTGAGCATTTCTATCAGCTGACTTTTCTCCAAATCTTCCAAATACTTAATATCATAAAAGTGGTTTTTAAATGCACTTAAATTCCCAGAATTTAGGTAGGCTTCAACCTCCTTCTCATCTTCCAATGCTGTATGTTTACTTGTTTTCTCTGATGGATTATTAGATGTTATATGTGTTTTCTTAAGATTCATGCTTTTCTTATTGTCATTTTCACTGATATTTTCTTTTAGGAAACGCTTTCTTTTACACTCCCTTTTCTGTAGAACTGAAGCCTCCTGATGACATTGTGGGACTGGACAATGGAAAAGAGCTAGTGAGTTGACACTCTTCTGGACTGGGTCAGGAGACAGCTCATCTGTGAGTCTGATGGTGGTCAGCTGAGGGGGGAGCTTGAGACAAGTTCTTGACACTTGGTTTGTTGAAGAAGTAAGATCCTATGGAAAAATGGAAGTTATTTCATTAGAATATTGTATAGGCATATCTTTTCTGGTAATTGTATTTTTTACAAACTGTGGGTCTGTGGTAGCCCTGTATTTAGCAAGTCTATCAGTGCCATTTTCCCATCAGTATGTGTTCACTTCATGTCTGTGTGTCACATTTTGTTCAATCTTGGAATATTTCAAATTTTTCTTCATAATGCTATTACTCACTTAAGAGGCTACAGTATAGTGCAAACAACTTTTCTATGCTCTAAAATATTAACTTAAACCATATCTCCTAACTCTCCTTATGGTGCATATTGAAACTTTTTGTATCTATTTATGGATATATTTGTTGTTGTTGTAGTTGTTAGGTGCTGTCAAGTTGGTTATGACTGACCCACAGTGACCCTGTACAGGGTTTCCAAGAAGCAGTTAATAAGTTTGACCCACCAACCTTTCGGTTCAAATCCATCTTGCAGTCCAATGCTTATTCTACAGCACCACACCAGATGACCTGCCCTAATAAAGCGGGCTATCCCCACCTCTCTAATACACTGGGCAGCTATGGAAGCATTTAAGTAATCAGGAATTGGGGATGAGCATGCTGTGTGTGGAGCATCACCCTGATAATGAACTGCTCACATTCAACATGAAAGATGTTTCTTACAAACAGTTTCTAACCGGTAGTATGCAATGCTAATGTCCATGTTAAGTCCCATGGTGGGACAGCCGGTGTCCAGGGTTGCTCAGGCTGCAACAGATCTGGGAGGGACAGAGAAGCTAAGCGAGTGAAATGTCCAGTCCACTGGGATACAAGGGGAAATGGAGAAGGCCACTAAGGCGGAAACCAAAACGGGTCTGGTCAAGACACCAGGAAGCAATTTTGTGCTGACTTGCTTGCTGCTGGCACCTCCCAAGACAAAACTGACAAACAACCCAATGCAGTTCTGGTAAAACTGTGCAGAAGCTCTGTCCCAAGCAGCAATTTACCAAGAAGAAGGACTCTCAAGAGCCTGCTTCCCCTAATGCACCCCCAATATGGGAAATGCTGACACCCCTGGATTAGGGGTGGGGCCAAGGTTCCCCAGGTCCTTGGATATGGAGACTATTGGGGGACTGGAGGCCCCATGTAGAACTAACCATCCATTTGTCTCTACAAACAGCCAAATGATTTTAGCCCTAGTGGATACCAGAGCCGAGTATACTCTGATTCATGGGAATATGCACCAGTTCCAGGGACCACTTAGTGCTATTGATGGGTATGGGGACAACACTATCAAAGTACACCAAGTGGTTTTAACCCTGCAGATTGGGAGTTTATCAACCAAAGAATATAAGGTATACATCTCCTCCCTACCCGAATATATCCTGGAGATGGATCCACTTGGAAGAATGACCACAGAAGAATTCCATCTCTGGGTCCAAGAGGTAAAATATGTTATTCAAGGGTGGGCAAAGTGGACTCCCGTACAACTACCCCCAGCTCATAGAGTGATCAATATCAAGCAACACCACCAACCTAGAGGACATGAAGAGATTACACCTACAGTAGCCAAGCTTGCCCAGGTGGGGATTATTAGGCCCACTCATACTTCATTGTTGAGTACACAATTGTCTACTGCCATATGCCATGATCCATCTGGCTTCCACACTGGCTGTTCTGGACTATTGAATGAACTATTGTTGTTGTTAGGTGCCATCGAGTTGGTATCAACTCATAGCCACCTTATGCACAGCAGAATGAAACACTGCCCGATCCTGGGCCAACCTCACTATCGTTGCCAAGCTTGAGCCCATTGATGCTGCCACTAGGCCAGTGCTGGGGGTCTTCCTCTTTTTCTCTGACCCTCCACCTTACCAAACATGATATCCTTCTCCAGTGACTGGTCCCTCCTGACAATATGTCCAAAGTA